AAAAAAAAAAAAAAAAAGAAAATAGCCCAACTAAATATAGTTTCTGTTGCCTCTAGGAGATCTGCTAGATGTTCTAGACTAGAGTGGGAAGACATTTGTTTAAATTGTTATCTCAAGGAAGCAGACCAACCTTTGTATTAAGATGTAATGTGCCTGAGTGACACCTTAATGAGAAGAATGAAATGTACTTCCCCTCAGTGTTAGGAACATGTAGATATATGAATATTTGTTAGTATCTTGAGGTATTGTTTAGGATTCATATACTGAAGGTATACAAAATTGACTTCTGCATCGGAAGCATTTAGAGGGAATGTCTCAGATGAATGCACTTGTATATCCTGGTAATATTAGAAAGAGTAACACAAAACACATGTACTCTACTTTCCCGTGTTCATATATTTGAAAGAATTTTAGTACTTTTGACAGCGATCAGATCTGAAGGCATGGGGATTTACCATTCTACTTTTGGGTGCATTCATTCATATTAGTGGTGAGGGTAGAATGCTACCTTTGTATTGTGCCTCTGTTTCTACTTGGTAGGGTTTCTTATCGAGCTAGAGAGAAACTGTAATATTTCTGGTCTGTTCATTGCATGTTCATTTGATTTTGCTTTTGTAGTGGTGTGTCTGTTGGGATGAGAATTAAGAACATTGAGGTCACTCTTGGCAAGTTATGTAAGCAACCTTTGATTTACAACACGGTTGTGTTCCTTTCTTTATGATGCAGTGTTGATGCCTGGAATGAAATTTCCCCCCATAGGTGCAGTGTTATAAGTGGTGATTGAGTTCTTTAACATGAAATATAATACTCTCTTAAGTAATCATAAGCAAAATTTCTTACCTCTCTGTACTTCCTTATCTTAAAATGGGGATAATGATAACAGTATCTACCTCATAGAGTTTTTGTGAGGATTAAATGAATTAATGCATGTTAAGTTCTTGATATAGTGTCTGATAGGTAGCTCAATGGTGGTATCATTTTAAAAACATTATTTCCTGGGGCGCCTGGGTGGCGCAGTCGGTTAAGCGTCCGACTTCAGCCAGGTCACGATCTCGCGGTCCGTGAGTTCGAGCCCCGCGTCGGGCTCTGGGCTGATGGCTCAGAGCCTGGAGCCTGTTTCTGATTCTGTGTCTCCCTCTCTCTCTGCCCCTCGCCCGTTCATGCTCTGTCTCTCTCTGTCCCAAAAAAATAAATAAACGTTAAAAAAAAAAAACATTATTTCCTACTCTTGAAATCATTGTTGCACTATATGATAACTAACTTGGATGTAAATTTAAAAAATAAATTAAAACAAAAACAAAAACAAAAAAACATTATTTCCTGGTGCCTGGGTGACTCAGTTGGTTGAGCATCCAACTCTTGGTTTCAGCTCATGATCTCACGGTTCATGGAAAAGAGCCCTGCATCAGGCTCTGTGCTGTCGGCAGGGAGCCTGCTTGGGATTCTCTCTCCCTCTCTCCCTCTCTTCTTCTTTCCCTCTCTCCCTCTCTCCCTCTCTCTCCCTTTCTCTCCACCCCTCCCCAACTTGCTCTCTCTCTCTCAAAATAAATAAACTAAAAAAACATTTCCTGGGAAAATGCATTCTGAATTTCATCATGGAGTACTGAGGAATGCCATCTTGGGGGAAGCAGGTTCATATGGGTTCAAATCTGACATTGGTATGCAAGGGCTGGTGGAATGGTGTGGGTTGGGTTCTCTTTTAGAGTTTTGCAACCTCTGGCCAGGGAGAGAGGATGGTCTAAAGAGGTATAAACTTCTGCTTCTAAAAAGTCACAGAGATGAAAAATACAGCATAGGAAATAAAATCAATAATACTATAATAACTTTATAATAATACTGTAATAACACTGTGGGGAGCATTTTGTAATATATATACCTGTTGAATCACTGTGTTGTACACCTGAAACTAATATCACATTGTGTGTCAGCTATACTTCAATTAAAATAAAAAAGAAAATGGAGATTCCAGTTTCTTAGTAGCTCCTTCTGTAGATGAGTGAGCTTGGAATGATGGACTGGTAGGGAGGTTCAAGCAACTGGGGCTTCTTGTGGCTTGGCAGGGATTGCGGCTAGCTGAGAGGCTTCTGATTGTAGGTTGTAGGGAGGGGACGTTACGGCATTTGAGAGGCAGACGAGGGCCATTTGAAACTACTGATGTTTCATTTCTCCAGTGGTGCTAAGAACCCATCTGAAATAATTTTGCCCATTTAAATTTTCCCTTTTCCCCCTCTTTCCTACAGCAAGAGACAATGGCCAAAATGGAGGTGAAAACGTCACTTCTGGACAATATGATTGGGGTTGGAGATATGGTTCTTTTAGAGCCTCTCAATGAGGAGACCTTCATCAACAACCTCAAGAAGCGCTTTGATCATAATGAAATATATGTGAGTATACACACCAAAGGTCATCTGTGGGGTTTGGACTTTGTATTTTGTGGCACAGAGCTGGCTTCTTTTCTCCAGACTCTTCTTTTTTCTGTTTGTTTATTAGAGTCCAGAGGTATGTGTTTAATCTCTCAGAAAGAGTTTTATGTTTGCTCATTTGGCACATGAGTAATATCGATTAGAGTCAAGTGAGTGTGTTTTCCATGTGGTATTTATAGAGTGCCAACCCTGTGCAGAGGATTGTACCGGGTGTTGGAGGCATCCGAAAGCAAGTAGAATGTTGAGTTCCTATCCTCTGAGGAACATATATTCAGGAGGAGTTTTAAAATCTATAGGTATCTTCTTGGGTGCCTTCATAAAATTAGCATTCTAACCTTTGAGAAGCTACCGATTAATATGCAAGGCAGTGAACTCTCAAAAAAGACATGAACCTTGTTGATATTTGTAGTTAATAGAGACAGGGACAGATTATCAGTTAAGAATATATATTTGGTTCCTGGAGGTTTGGGAATAGTCCTGTCCTGCTACAGAGAAGCATATCGTCATATAAAAAAATGAAAACATATGAAGATACACGATAAAAGGAGAAAGTTTATGTTGTAAGAATTCTTTATAAAGGATTTTACAATGTTACTTTACCTATCTGTTCCTTAAATATATTTAAAACATGAGTAAGTGGTGCCTGGGTGGCTCAGTTGGTTAGGTGCCCGACTCTTTGATTCTATCTTGGGTCCTGATCTCATGGTTCGTTGGTTCGAGCCCTGTGTCGGGCTTTGTGCTGACAGTGCAGTGCCTACTTGGGATTCTCTCTCTCTCCCTCTCTGCCCTTCCCTTGCTTGCACTCTTCCTCTCTCTCAAAAATAAATAAATAAAAATAGTAACAAAAAAATAAAACATGAGTAAAAAATACATTCATATACAGCTTTTCAGGAATTTGCATAAGCACAAAAGTTTGTATCTCTTCAGGTACGGATGCGTTGTTAACTAATCCAAGAAAATGGGGGCACCGATTCCTTGTCCCAGCAGTTGAGAAAGAAACAGCATGCTTTGGATGGAAGTGGGTTTTTTTTTTTTTTCAATTTTTAATGTTTATTTTTGAGAGAGAGACAGAGTGTGAGTGGGGGAGGGGTAGAGAGAGAGGGAAACACAGAATTTGAAGCAGGCTCCAGGTTCTGAGCTGTCAGCACAGAGCCCGATGTGGGGCTCGAACTCATAAACTGTGAGATCATGACCTGAGCTGAAGGAGGACGCTCAACCGACTGAGCCACCCAGGTGCTCCGAGGTGGAAGTAATTTTGTTAGATTCTGCCTTGCTCCTGAGTTCTTTCCCCCTCTTTTTATATCATATCTGTGTTTGCAGATGAATTGGATTATTGGGTTATGCTGCATATTTTCCTATCACTGTGGGAACAGTAGGAAGAAATATAAATAAATAAGTGGAGAGATCATATAAGTATGATCACTTATTACTTTTGTGGAATGAATATATGAAAAAAATTATCTGCAAAGCTATATAATTTTATGTCACATGTAGCTTTCCTTTCCAGTTAGCCAGTCATGTTTCAAGGATAACTTTGTATAATTAATTTCCTAAGGAAGTGGTGGTTATCTTCTGGGAACTGAACTTTCTTATCTTCCTTGATTGGCGTTGCTGCAAGTAGGGAGGTTGACAGTCACTTGAGATGTGTGGATACTTCTTTTAGAATATTAATTTGACTGCTATGTATGAAGTTCAGAGAGAGATGCAGTTATGTAAAATGTTGATTCCAATGGAAAAGGTATAAAACAGCGCTGCAGAGGAGGGAGGGAGGAGGTGTCCTTTGGTTTGGCTGTGAGGCCCGGGGTGTCACCTTCCCTCAGAGCGTAGTGGCTCAGCTTTCAGGTGGGAAAACCTTACGATTCTACAGCTTTAACTGCAAGTATGGTCTGATAGCGAATGAAAGACCGACTTTAAACATCGGTCTTTGAGATGGAGATAGGAGGAATCCATTCTATCGTTAAGTAATGTTGCTGATCATTTTTCTTTTTGGCTCTAAGAAACACAGTTCACTTTTCGAGGACTTGAAAATAGGAGAGAGACTGGAACATTGCATGCATTCAAATACCTGATTGTTTTTGTGCCCACTAAAATAAAGCAGTCCCTTTTTTAACAAAATGCCAAATGTTAATGTTCATGAGTCTTCAGCAGACGAAATGTCTGGGTTTCAGCCCTACGTAATTTTATTTTCTAACCATTTGAGGAATGCCCTTTCTGGTATAACAAAAACAAAAGCAGAAAATTGCTTTCTGCTTCTAGATAGTCATATCAATTAATGTTTTCCATGGTACGTTAGGACTATCTTTTCCATGAGATGTGTGCCTTCATTTTTTGTAACTAAACATGCGTCATATTGGAGGGTTGGGCATTTTCTATTTTAAGCCACAAAAAAAAAAAAAAAAAAAAAGGGTGGAGGGGGGTTATAGAGCAATATGTAGAGTATGATCCTGTTTTTTTTTAATGGGGGGATATGCACATAGGTCTGTATGCTTGTTTGCACATAGAGAAAGGCAGGCTAACTTTGGGCATCACAGTGGAATGAGCTGAGATACGGGGACAGGGAAGGGTTACTGTTTTAGACCTCTGTATTATAGAACTCATTAAGTCAAGCATGTATTGTTTTTGTAATTAAAAAAAATACTCTACGCTAAATTTGATGACCACACCTTTGGAACCCCAAATGTCAGGTATACCACCCTTGAGAAATCTGTTTCTGGCTCTTATTCTAATAATATTCCTCCTCTGCTTTTGTTCATGGATTGCTGCTGAATTGATTAGCCTGATGCCAAAGGTCGAGTTAATATGACATGTAGAATTTTACTATCTTGTACTTTGCTTGTTTTTAAATTCTTTCCAAGAAAATGAAGGTGCAGTGTTTTTTGTTTTGTTTTGTTTTTTAATCTGTTTTGTGGTCTCATAGTTTAATACTATAAAAGTGGGTGGAGGTCTATGATGATCCATCATGTGAACAAATTGAGCAGTCATTTGTATGTTCAGAAGCCATGATTGATAAAGGAGCCAATGAGTAGAAAGGCCTTGGCTCAGACTTTTGAACTCTGGCTGTACCCACAGACTTAGTAGCCTCTTTTGTGAACCAGCTCAAGGTCAGAGGACCCTCTTTTTCCATTCTGCCCATCTATCCACTTGCCCTTACACCCCCAATATCTATTTCTTAAAATAGTCTCTGCCTTCACACAGCTCTCACAAGGGACTGGTTTGTCTCTAGATATGAGTTATCATCTCTCAAGAGCATTTATAATACTTAGTGATTTTCAGGATGCCCAGCCAGCTGACTCTGGAAATAGAGTTCCTTGTGATCCTGTCATAATAAACCGGAATTTCTGGGTAGACCACTTGAGTCACACACCTACTGCTTGGACCACTGATTGTGGCCTGCCGACCAGAATGAACTGAGTGGCTTAAGAAAATGATGTCCTCTCCTAAGATTGGGTAGGGCCAACTTTTTCCAAAGGAGGTGGGGTGTGTGTAAGTATGTGAATACCCAACCAAATATATTAACATGTTAAGAAGAGGAAAGGGGGAATGAATGCTCATGAGGTCAATGCTGTAAACCCATCACATGTTGGGTTGGGAGTTTGTAATGAAGTAGCTTTGTGGGTGTTGATATGAAAAGGATATGACCCGTGAGAAGGATTTGTCATTTGCGTTCCAGGCTTCAGGTATACCCAAAGGCATCCTTCTCAGACTTTCTATTGGAGAACTCCTAATGGCAAAGAAGAGTAAATAGTTGCCTCCAGGGACTCCGGGGCCATAGTTGAAGTCCATCCACTTAAGAGAAGTTTTGTCGAAATACTTGCTTCCAAACTAATTCAGTTGTATTCTGTTCTGTAACGCATATGGGTTTGTTTTTATCTAATATGCTCCTTGCAACCCTTTGAGTAATAAGGTTTTTTTGGTGCTGATAAGTACATTTAGTTTGTTTTCTGTCTGAATTGTCAGATCGGGGATCATGTAGATACAGAGGTGTGAATTTGTCCATTTTAGGATTTTAAGTTAAGCTAATTGTAATTGCGAGTCACTGCTTTGACAATCTAGTAAAAATTGTCTTAATTTTTAGAAGTTAGTACTACAATTGGGATCCCCGTAGAGATGGAGTCAGATACTTTTCCAAAGGATACTTAACATGCACGCTCTAGGAACATCCATCATTTGCTTTGAGGTGGTTCATGCACTGAAGCACTGGGTTGGTTCATCATCTGGTGTGTGGCCAGGCAGCGTTTCTAAATCTGGGATGGTTCCGGACGTTGATGTGAGCTTTGCAGTAAGAGCTGTTCACTTGGACAAGTGGAGGATCGGGTGAGAAAAGAGAGAGGTGATGTTGGCCTGATGGGGTAACATGCAGCATCAGAGACTCTGTTTGCTTTTATTCCTCCCTCTTGGCTGAGTGCAGTTCTGGCTGGGACAAGCTGCAGGATGTGATGTGCCTTTTGGTCTCCCAGTCTGTGTGGGGCCAGTGTTGGGAAATGTCGGTCGTGACATAACTGAGCATTGCTCTTCTGTATTCTTTCTGCTGTCTTGGTCAGACCTTCTTCCGGCTTCCCCACCCCCACCCCCCACCAGACAGAATGGTGGCAGGATTTCATGCGGACTTGTAACGTAGGAGACCCACCCAGACATGATTCTGTTTTTAGGGTGACTGGTCAGGACTGTGGTTCTGTTCAGGGACAGGAAGCCTGCAATTTAGGCAAGAACAAGGCCCAGGGCAAATTTGGAAACTAAAGAACCAAGGTGTCTGTTCTCCGACAAGAAGTATTTTTGGTGCTGACAAGTCGATGTAGTGTGTTTTCTATCTGAATTGTTAGTTTGGGGATCATCCAGATATAGAGGGCTGAATTAGTACAGTTTTAGGATCTTAAGTTAAACTAATTGTGGATGTAAAAATGACTGCTTTGCAAGTCTAGTAAGAATTGTCTTAATTTTTAGAAGTTGGTGCTAGAATTAGG